GGCGAGCATATATATATATATATATTGTATCTGTATCTATATATATATATAGACACAAGAGTAAATCAAGATGGTTAAAGTTACGGAGCACTATCGACGAGACATCCAGCCCCCCGGTCTTGGAGTTGTTTCTTATGGCCTGGGGGGTGTAAGCTAGGGCTCAGAAATGCTGTGTAATGCAGCATCTTAGATCTATGGGGCATGCGTGCCAGATCTTCTCTTTGTGACTCCGTTCGATAACACAGGGGAACCTGACACCTGTTGGCCAAGGCCCAGAAATCTGGAGGGACTCTTGGAAGGATGCGCATACTCGACAAAGTCGTCTGCGTGCGCTCCTGCAGCTTGAAACATTCAGTTTTGTGCTGTGAGTGCTGCTAAGGACTGCTAAGGAGACCTCGTCAAAAGAGTGCTAATTAGCTGATTTGTGTCACACGGCAAGCAGCAGTTCGGGGCCTCGGGCATGCTCTCTGTCCGTTTCGTGATGCGCAGGTTCAGTCAGCCCAGCAGCTAACGTTGGAGATAAGCCCATCGTTCGATTGCCAGAAACCCAGGGATGAGTTTTGTCGCGGCCACGATGTAGAATTGCCGCGGTAACCTTCATCTTCAGATGCTAGAGCGAGGCTGACTATTGCAAAAGACCAGGAGAGCATGTGGGCCGGCACCTTATCATGTACACAACTCGGAGGTACACCGCCACTTGCAGATCGGTATTTAGAAACGACTCCAGGCGCAATTGGTGACCAGTTGCTGCGCCTTGGAGGGGTCTCGCCGGCACACGGCTTCTGTGTCTCGTTGTTTTTATGGGCTATGGATGGAGGTGCAATTGAGTATTCGTATCTGTACATGTGCATCTCGCCTTGCCGTGCCCAATCCTGGCCAGACAACTGCAAGCCCTGCGCAAGGAGCACGAGGCCGGAACTGATAGAAATGGGACAGTCCAGAGATGTCCAAGAGTACCTGTGACTCATTGAGACGCCCCCCCCTTTCCTCGTGGTTAGAGGCTTGGAAAGAGCAGAGAAAGAGCACCGCCTGGTTTGAGATCTGAGGTCCTGAAGCTGGAATCGCAGGCCTTGCGCAGGTGCTTAGACCGAGCAGGCTGCTGAGATTTCCAGTGTCCTGTCCTTCAAACCAGGGTATTTAGGGAGCGATAGGAAGACTACAGGCTTACATGCAACATGCTGCCGGTGCAGCGCATTTTCGATGAACCACAGACAAGGAACATGTGATGGGGCATCGTGCGTGTATGCCAGTGCCTTGCTGTCAGAAGGATCCCCTTCTGGCGATTGAGCCGGTTCTCATGGCAATCTCGCGCGCTTGTTGCTCGAAGCAATTGCATGGCAGGAATACATCGCGATAGTCGCCTGCAGCATAAACTGCACGGTCTAGCAAAGCCTGTTGTGGGAGCAGGTCTAAACAGGAATGTTGGTCGTGGTGGGCCAGCAAGTGTCAGCTAGTATTCTTGCGTGTAAAGCAGGGCACATGGCTGCGGCGGATGATTTCTTTCTATGATTGGGCTCCCACGCAGCAGGCAGGAACTCCAGGCGCGGGTTTGTCTATCCGGGAGATCTGCTCGGAGCAAGAGTCCTTGCTCCAGCTGCAGGCTCCCAGAATGGCCACGGGTCGGAGGACCGCCTGGGGGGCGATGATCCGGATAACGCGGGATGGGGACAAGGAAAGTTGAGGTTTCAGGCTCCTGGATTTCGTGGTGCGTAGAGGTATTAGAGGTGTCATGTGTTCTGATACATCGCTGGGCCATGCGCAAAGTCGCTGTCAGAGGATCTGGCATCGCAGAATGATCTGGAGATCCAGGGCGCGATCTGCCAGAAGATTCAGGAGCTCTCCGCTTCACAGAGGGTCCTCCACGACAGGTGCAGTCTTGTGTTTCTGGCCACGAGCTTGGTGGCAGTGCGAGGATGCCGTGGATATTTCCGACGTTTTCAACAAGGCTGCCATGCAACTGCTGCATCTCGGGTAGAGCCTCCACCACTGCTCAAGGTGTTTGCTGTCCCTGTAGCTTGAAATCTGTGCAGTCGCTAGCTTTCGCTCTTCTTTCAGCTTGGGGATCATAGAAGGGCGGCTTGCACTTTGAACTCGAAAGCGCCGCTGGCTGATTCTTATTGGCAGACGGCTTGGCAGAGGTTGGTAGGAGCCTGCACTCTGACTCGGATTCGCAGGTCGCAATCCATTCGGGAAAGGCGAGTCCCAAGACTTTGGTCTACGCAGTGCCGGGAGCCTGAATACAGGGCCCGGCCTGCAGTAGTCTCGGGAGCCTGGATATTGGGCCGGGTCTGCAGTAGCCTTGGTGGTTCGAAGCAAAATCTACCCATCCAGTCAATCTTCTTCACGTCTCGAGACTTCTCAGGTCTCTGCACATGTGAAACTTGAGGATGTCCTTCGAGCCATAACAGAATTCAGATGAAGCAGTGCAGCAGAGGCTGCACTAGCGAAAGGTGTAGACCCTCAGTCCTTCCACGTGTGCGCCGGCATGAATGCAGCACGCGTCGAGGCACCGGATCGCCCGATACTGTCGGTTGCGGAAGAAGGATATCGGCCCGACACGTCCGGGGCCTCGGAAGAAGTCTCTGTGCTCGCCGGGGCGCGGCTGGGGCAGTTCGGGAACAACGGCCCGTTTTGGCGAGCATTCTGCCGAGTGGTTTCGCAGGCGTGGTTCAACATAGATGCCAGAACGACCATGCAGGACCATGTCGTAGAATTGGTATCTCAGCAAGTGAGAAAGCCGGTAGACTGCCTGGAAAGCCCTAAACTCTAGACTTTGGACCTGGTTGTCCGGTGGTAGTCGATATGTGGTTGCAGAGTATAGGACGAAGCCATCGAGCCTTCACAGCATGAGCGCCATGGCCATCACCAAGTCCGTGCTTTTGAGCGAGGATGATTCCGGTTCTTCAAAGGCAGAGAGTGTCGAGGACAGCCCCATGCAGTCCAAAGAGGTCTTGGAGTTGGTGCACATGGGCTTCGATCCAGGCGTGGCAGCGGATGCCCTGCAATCAGCCGACGGCAACATGCAGGAAGCCCTGGACATTTTGACTGGTGACGCTGGCGACTCTCAGACACCGGACGCGCCGCTCAAAGGGCTGCAAGTCATCATGTCGATGGGCTTTAGCAAGGAAGCGGCCACGCGGGCCCTGCAGAGGACGGGGGGAGATGAGGAGGCGGCAATCAACCTCCTCGTGGAAGACTCCCAACCTCACGAGCAGAGATCAGCCCCGAGATCGCAAAGGGCCGCGCCTGTGCAGAGCCGGGAGAGGTCTCGCAGCCCCCGCTTAGAGGTTCGGCCGGTGGAGCGCAAAGTGCAGTCCACCAAGAGGCTAACGGCCTTCTCCGATTCGGCGAAGCAGGCCGTGATCGAAGCCTTGGGAGGCCCAGGCGGCAAGCGGAAAACCCAGGTGTCCAAGTCCATCAAACGGGGCCGCGTTTCTCAGTGGCAGCATCATTGGCAGAAGGATCCCAGCGAGGAGCAGCTCGAGACTGCATCGCCAGGTTACGCAAAGCTGAAAAGTTACCAGAGAGTGGGGGTCCGCTACTTGCTTGCTCTGGCAAAGCTCGGGTGTGGTGGCATCCTTGCTGATGAGATGGGTTTGGGAAAGACTGCTCAAGCATTGGTGTTTCTGGACCTGTTGCCCAGCACCCTGAGTGACAAGCAGGCGCGTGCGAGGCTGAGGCCATCTCTGGTAGTTGTGCCCGCGACAGTCCTTGAGAACTGGGAACGAGAGTGTGCCCTCTGGTGCCCGCACTTCCGAGTCTTCCGATATCACGCTTCGAACAGAGATGACCGGGCAGCTTTGGCTGAAGACTTTGAGGAACAATGGCAGCAAGGCGAGTCAGCAGTGGTACTCACTACTGCTGCCATTCTCCGAAACAAGGAGGATCAGCAACATTTCTTCAGGAAGTTTCGCTTCGAATGCGTGATTTGTGATGAGGCACATGCCATGAAGAATGCGCAGACGAATGCTTTCAGGAATGTGACGCGCCACATCCAAGCCAAGCGACGCATACTTCTCACTGGCACTCCGGTGCACAACAACCTTGGCGAGCTCGCGAACCTTTTGAAGCTGCTTCTGCAGAGTGAAGGCGGAGTAAGCAGTCCAATCATCAAAGAATTGGAGCAGGTGGTGGAAAGACAGTCCTTGCGGACCCTTCAAGCACGTGCCGCGCCTTTCATGCTAAGGAGGCTGAAGCGCAATGTCATGTCTGACCTTCCTCCGAAGACATGCCAGCCTCTGCGCTGCCAGATGACAGCTTCTCAAGAGAGCCTGTACGTGGAGGAGCTTAAAAAGGCAAAAGCAGAGTCGAAGAGTGTGAGGAAGACCAAGGCAGCCAAAAATAAGTTTGTGAAGCATCTCTTCGCCCGATTGCGCCGGCTGTGCAACCACCCGCTGCTCATGCAAGCCAGACTAAGTGAGGCTGACTTTGCCAACCTGACAAAGCTCATGCGAACAGTACGCGACGACTTTGCACGCGCTAGTTTCGAGAAGTGCCGAGAGTTTTTGAAAGAAATGAGTGACTACGAGCTGGTGCAGCAGGTGCGGGAGTACAATCTGCAGGGCAAGCTTGCAGACTTCGGCATCGAGCCACGCAAACTCAGCATCAACCGCGATGATATCATGAGCTCCGGCAAGATTCAAGAGCTTTGTAAGATCCTGGAAAGCCACTTGGCAAGAACTTGGAAGTCGCTTGGGCGGTAAGGACATAATTCAGCTACTTTTGCCACACATTTCCGAAAGGAGAATACTGTACGGAAAGGGCGAGAGACAGCAAGAGAGCGAGAGACCCTTCGCAGTTTTTTTGTTTTCTCTCTCTCCCTCCCTCTCTCTCTGTCGCGCCTCCCAGAAGCAAGCAAGCAGGCAGGCAGGCAGGCAGCCAGACAAGCAGGCAAGCAAGCAGGCAGGCAGGCAGGCAAGCAAGCAAGCAAACAAGCAAGAAATACTGTCAGGCTGACAGACTGGGGGTAAGTGCTTGCGCCGGGGAACAGGTTTCTTGTTCCGGATACAGGCAGGGGTCAGGCGGGAAGGTCAGGCAGTGGAGCACCAGTCCCAAATCGAGTTTACGCAATTGAGATGGTGCACCTGATTTAACACTGTCATGTCCTTTGTTCGATGTTTGTGGGATGGGATTGCACACCTGTTGGTTGTCTCTACGCCCACTCCTCCAACTGCCACCTGCAACTGCCACTGCTAGCTGCTGCTGCTGCTCCTGCTGCTGCTGCTGCTGCCGCTGCTGCTGCCGCTGCTGCCGCTGCTGCTGCTGCTGCTGCTGCTGCTGCTGCTGCTGCTGCTGCTGCTGCTAATGCTGCTACTATACTCCTCCTCGTACTGCTGCTCCTACTGCTTTTGATAATGCTACTGCTACTCCTACTGCCACCCAGTACTGAGTACTGCTGCTGCTGCCATTGCCACTGCCACTGCTACTGCTACTGCAACTGCTACTGCTACTGCTACTTTTACTGCTGCTGCTGCTGCTACTGCCTACTGCAAGTGCTACTCACTAGCACTGCTACTACTGCCAGTACTGCTAGTGTTGCTAGTATTACGAGAACGACGACTGGTACTTCTTGTGCTACAGCTAGGCGGGTGGGTAAAACAATCACAACAGTAGTAGTAGTAGTAGTA